CGGGTGGCACCGTCGTGGGGATCCCCCCAGGGTGGCACCGTCGTTGGGGACCCCCCCGGGATGGCAGCTCCGTGGGGACCCCCCCCCGGGTGGCACCATCGTGGGGATCCCCCTGGGGTGGCCCTGCCGTGGGGACCCCCCCCGGGGTGGCACCGTCGTGGGGACCCTCCCGGGATGGCACTACCGTGGGGTGGTGGCACCCCAGTCCCCCCAGCACCCACCCTGGGGACCCCCGGGCACCCCAGCCGTGTCTGTGGCCACCCAGGGCTGTGCCCGTGGCAACCTGACTGTGCCAGGGGACCCTGGCCAGGGACATGGCACCCCAACCGTGCACGTGGCACCCCGACTGTGCACATGGCACCCCAACCGTGCACGTGGCACCCCGACTGTGCCCATGGCACCCTGGCCATGCCCGTGGGACAGTGGCCATGGCCATGGCACCCCAACCGTGCCTGTGGCACCCCGACTGTGCCCATGGCACCCTGGCCGTGCCCATGGGACAGTGGCCATGGCCATGGCACCCCAGCTGTCCCTGTGGCACCCCGACTGTGCCCATGGCACCCTGGCCATGCCCGTGGGACAGTAGCCATGGCCATGACACCCCGACTGTGCCCATGGCACCCTGGCCATGCCCATGGGACAGTAGCCATGCCCATGGCACCCCAACCATGCCCATGGCACCCCGACTGTGCCCATGGCACCCTGGCCTTGACCATGGGACAGTAGCCATGCCCATGGCACCCCAACCATGCCCATGGCACCCCAACTGTGCCCACAGCACCCTGGCCTTGACCATGGGACAGTAGCCATGGCCATGGCACCCCGACTGTCTCTGTGGCACCCCGACTGTGCCCATGGCACCCTGGCCATGCCCGTGGGACAGGGGCCATGGCCATGGCACCCCAACCATGCCCGTGGCACCCCAGCTGTGCCCACAGCACCCTGGCCTTGACCATGGGACAGTAGCCATGGCCATGGCACCCCGACTGTCTCTGTGGCACCCCGACTGTGCCCATGGCACCCTGGCCATGCTCATGGGACAGTAGCCATGGCCAGGGCACCCCAACTGTCCCTGTGGCACCCCAACTGTCCCTGTGGCACCCTGGCCACAGCGTGTGGCACCCTGGCCATGTTTTTGTCCCTAGAGCCATGCGATGGCACTCTGGCCACCACCGTGGCACCCTGGTTGTGCCATGGCACCCTGGTTGTGCCATGGCATGCTGGCTGTGCCCGTGGCACCCTCGCCATGACTGTGGCACCCTGGGCATGCCCGTGGCACCCTGACTGTCCCAGCCGTGCCCATGGCACCCTGACCATGCCCATGGTATCCCGGTTGTCCCCGTGGCACCCCATCCATGCCCGTGGCACCCCAACTGTCCCCCGTGGCACCATGACCATGCCCATAGCACTCCATCCATGCCCGTGGCACCCTGATGGTTCCCATGGCAGCCTATCCATGCCCATGGCACCCCAACTGTCCCCGTGGCACCCCGACCCTACCTGTGACACCCTGACCCTACCTGTGGCACCCCGGCCATGCCTGTAGCACCCCATCCATGCCCATGTCACCCCAACTCTCCCCGTGGCACCCTATCCATGCCCGTAGCACCCCATCCGTGCCCATGGCACCCCAACTGTCCTTGTGACACCCTGACTCTCTGCGTGGCACCCTGACCATGCCCGTGGCACCCCAACTGTCCCCGTGACACCCTGACTGTGCCTGTGGCACCCCAACTGTCCCCATGGCACCCTATCCATGCCCGTAGCACCCCATCCGTGCCCATGGCACCCCAACTGTCCTTGTGACACCCTGACTCTCTGCGTGGCACCCTGACCATGCCCGTGGCACCCCAACTGTCCCCGTGGCACCCTCACCTTACCCGTGACACCCTGACCCTACCTGTGGCACCCCGGCCATGCCCCTAGCACCCCATCCATGCCCGTGGCACCCCAACGGTCCCCATGGCACCCCGACTGTCCCCGTGGCACCCTGGCTGTGCCCGTGACACCCCAACTGTCCCTGTGGCACCCTATCCATGCCCGTGGCACTCCAACGGTCCCCGTGACACCCCAACTGTTCCCGTGGCACCCTGACCCTACCCATGGCACCCTGGCCATGCCTGTAGCACCCCATCTGTGCCCATGGCACCCCAACTGTCCCTGTGACATCCCAACTCTCCCCGTGGCACCCTGACCCTACCTGTGACACCCTGACTGTGCCTGTGGCACCCCAACTGTTCCGTGGCACCCCAGCCATGCCCGTAGCACCCCATCCATGCCTGTGGCACCCCGACTGTTCCCGTGGCACCCTGATCCCACCTGTGGCACCCTGGCCATGCCCATAGCACCCCATCCGTGCCCATGGCACCCCAACTGTCCCCGTGACACCCCGACTCTCCCCGTGGCACCATGACCATGCCCATGACACCCTGACCCCACCTGTGGCACCCCAGCCATGCCCGTAGCACCCCATCCGTGCCCCTGGCACCCCAACTGTCCCCGTGGCACCCCATCCATGCCCATGGCACCCCAACAGTCCCCATGACACCCTGACCCTACCCGTGGCACCCTGACTGTCCCTGTAGCACCCCATCCATGCCCATGGCACCCCAACGGTCCCCATGACACCCCGACTGTCCCTGTGGCACCCTGACCGTGCCCGTGACACCCCAACTGTCCCCGTGGCACCCCATCCATGCCCGTGGCACCCCAACTCTCCCCGTGGCACCCCGACCCTACCCGTGGCACCCTGACTGTGCCCGTGACACCCCGTGACACCCC